CCCCCCCCCATCCCCCCTAACTCTATTCTCCACCTCACAATGCCGTCGATATCACCGACGATATACCGTGCACAAGCAGTGTCGGCGGCAAACCATCCGTTAAGCACTGCACAACGTTTAAATAACGATCACTTAAGGAAACCTGAAAAATAATAAATTTTTTTGAAACGAATCGAATCGCCATTCCTCCTGAAAAACAACAAAAAAACCAACGAAATGAAACAAAATCTCTGAAAAAATTCCAATTTTTCATTCCCCTCAAAAAAGGTTTTCAAATTTTCCGAATTTTTTCAAAAAAATTTTCCAAATTTGGAAAATAAACCAACATCATTCGGTGGAGTCGGCAGATTCAGCAAGCAAATGGCTGCCTCGCCGCTGTTCTTCTTGATCAGATCGTTCATCGCTTCCACATAGCTGATCGGTAAATCCACTGATTCTCTGCAAATCAACTTTTTTTATCAACCCTAGCCAAATATCGGGGATATCCGAGGATATGCCAAATCCCCCAAATCAAATATCGAGGATATACCAAATCTCCCAAATCAAATATCGAGTATATACCAAATCCCCCAGATCAGATACCCGATATCCGAAGCTATGTCAAACCCACAGATCAAATACCCAGCATATCCCGGGATATACCAAATCCCCAATCTGTATACTGGATATCCGAGGTTATATCAAATCCCCCGACGATATCCGAGGATATAACAAACAGTAGATTCATTAACTGACCTCGGCGGAGCATTCGGCGGGTCCTCGCCCAAATGACACACCACATGATCCCACGGCATCACCAGCGATCGCGCATCGATTCGCAGTTGCGTTAGCATTTGCTTCAATTGCCGCTCTCGACGATGCATATCCTTTGAAAATATAATAATTCGAGGAAAAAATTCAAAATTCAAAGAAAATTCAAATTTTCAGCAAGATCAAATTGCAATTTTTCTTATTTCATCATTAAGAAGTACCGATAAAACAAGGTTTTCGTGAAAATTTTTCCCAATCACACGAAAATTTTCAAATCTTTTTCAAAAATTTCCGAAATATTTGTCAAAATCGTTGGAATTTTCCACCTAAAAAACCGAAAAAACCAAAAAAACCACGCACCTGTAAACTATTCACACAAATGAACACTCTCAGTATGGTATGCGAACGCCATCGTGAGCTCATCGACAAAATGCACGCCAATTGCAGCAAAAACAGTGAGCTGAAAATTCGGACAAAAATTGGAAACATTCCAAAATTTTCAAAACTGGAAACATTCCAAAAATTTTTCAAAAAACTGGAAAACAATTTCCAACGATGACCTTTGACCCCATCCCAGTCCCGTCTCACCCGGTTTCTGCATACAAACCGGCCATACGTCGATGAATTTCTTCTGCCCGTTCCACGTTCTAAAACAACAAATAATAAAAATAACATTAAATAACAATAATAAATAACAATAAATAATAATAATAAACAATAATAAATACTAAAAACAATAACAATACTACTAAAACCACCTCAAAGTCTCCTTATCGAGTCTATGGAAGTGCCTGGCCACGCATAAACTCTTATTTATATGCAGCACATCGTTCAAAATGTGTACGTATTCCTCATTTGTTAAACGTTCACACGACCCATTCATCTCCTTAAATAATTAATAATAATATCAACCCAAAACCTCCGGTAAAACCTACCCAAACCCCGGGTAAAACCCACCCAAATCCTCGGTAAAACCCCCCTAATACCCCGGTAAAACCCACCCAAACCCCGGTAAAACCTAAACCGCACCCTAACCACTCTTCCACCCAATACCCACCCCTACATTTTACCCAAACTATCTCTCAAAAAAACCAAAAAATACCAAAAAAACCCACCCTCGGCATATAATCCGCAGCAGTGAAATACTCCACCACCTCGGCCCTATCTATCCTCGAGTATTTCAAATCCTTCAGCAGGCACGTCTCCACCAACGTCGTCTCTGTGGGTGTCTTCTCGTGATAGCTAATCACCACCATGTTCGGTTTCATCGCACCCAAACCGGACAAACGCATCAACTGCAATAAAACAAAACTAATTAATTAATTAACTAGCTAATCAATTAACCAACTAAATAATTAAACAAACAAATACCCAACCTGCTGACACCCCTCCCGAATCGATTTCGACACCGTCAACTCAACGAACGCTTTCAACTTCAAATAATCCACCAACGATAACCAATATGGAAAGACCTGAAATAAAGTACCATTAAATGAACAAAATGGAAAAAAATGTCCGCCACCTGAAAGGTAAAAAATGAGTACCTGTTGTAGCGGGTCGTGTGCCGATGGGTCCTGATCCATCGACCCTTTGCGTACGTGCCCGATCACGTACAAGCCACTCTTCTTCAGATCGTTCACGAAATCCATCAGCGGACAGCTGGTCGCCGGACGACTCACCAACAACAGCACTTGCGGACGCCAATATCTGAAAAATTTTGGTGAAATTCTGAAAAATTTTCACAAAACTGAAAATTTGCTGCAAATTTTTGCAAATTTTAGTGAAACTTTGGAAAATTTTTACGAAAATTTCCGAATTCGCATCGCTTTTTACAACAAAAAATGCTGCGCCTGCATTTGAAAAAAGAAAATCGTATGGCAAA